GAACTACCTGCCTATCCCACAGAAAAGTACCTACTGCAGCTCTCAACAACATTTAAGATCCTACTTGTGGAGCCAGTGCTACCATGTTTCTGAGATCACTACCACTAAATCAAAACTTTCCTTATTCTTTGATTCAAATGCAGTTGTGACAAGGCAGAAGCAGTCATTGCACAGCATAGAAGAGTATCACATGGGCTAGCCATATTGCTATCTCCTTTCCCATACTACAATCCAGGGACTTGCAAGGGTTTTCTCACACTTGCAGACAACAACTCCCTTTCCCTCCCCAGCCTCAGGGACTGCTGCTGCCTGGCCTTGCTCTCTGCCATGGCAAGAAGGACCCTCAAGTGGGGAGCACAAGGGAGTTGGTAGCTTCAAAGCTTCTCAAATGAAGCGCCCCTTTTTCTAAAGCAAAAAAACAAACAAAGGCAATAAGCAGCATTAGACAAAGGGCTAGAAAGTGCTTTGGGTGCTACAGGCTCAGGATGAGAGTCATTGAGGGAGCTGTGGGGAGTGTGGGAGGGGGTTGAGAGGAAAAGCTGAGCTCATTGCATCCCAACCAGACAACATCAGGCAGGAAACAGATGTGGAAGAAACCACAGAGGGGTACAGCAACAGCAGAACTAACTCTCCAGCAAATAGGGGAATCTCAGACATATAGAGCTGATCTGCACCAATCTAAACAAGGCATTGAATCTGAGACTTTCTGCAGTCCTGGCAGCATCTGCTAGCACAGCATTGGGACACCACCATACTAAAAAATGAAGGAAACAATTTAGCCTTTTTCTAGCTGGCTCTAAGCAAATGAAGCAAAAGTAGGTGCGGATTTGAAGAAGTTCCTGTGCGAAAGACTGGGTTATCTTTTACCAGCACAATCCAATTTTTGTAGATGCTGTGTATATTTCCATTCTAAAAAGGGAAGTTGTACCTGCTTGTGTATCTGAAATTCCAATCTGAATGTCTGGGAATATTAAACTTCATTTTGACTTAGTCCCTCTCACTTTAACAGCTTTGACTCTTACAACAGCCTCCTCTTACAACACTTCTCTATACAACCAGAAGCAAGACTGCTCTCTGTGACTGTTTTCTTAAGCAGTTCAGACTGTCCTGCTCCAACTAAAGATGGTGCACAACTATGTGTCTTGTCTTCTCTGCTAGCCCATCCATCACTAGAAAATTATACTGTTGTTATTACAGGACCTGAAGGTGTGACGTGCAGCTCCCATTGACTTCAGTAGAGGCACAATGCATTTTTCTCCTCTGGAAATCAAGCTGGTTATCAAGAGGCCAAAACATGATTCTAATGTTAATCCTTTGAGGCTTATATCTGTCAGCCCCATTGCACCTGTACAATTCAATAAAGTTTGACACCGGAAAATGTTTTAGAAGAGGGTATTAACTTCATCCTGCATTGGTGCCTATCCATGTCCAAAGCCTGGGTGTAGACACTGCTTTCTAGTGAAGCTGATATTCCAAAAAATCACTTGACTTTGTGTGTGGATTCAGTGCTGACAGCAACACAAGAGGGACTATGTGAAATCAGACAACTTTTACTCACTGGTATTGCCAGCCATCATATCTTTATGTCCTATGTGAGCTTGGCCTCAAACACACTCCTATTCAAGTCATTGTTTGATAATTGTAGTGGGGAGGAAATAAAGTTGATTTTTCCCCAAGTTTCTAGCCCTCTTACCAGGAGAAAGATTTGAAAAAATAACTCAGATGCACACTGAAGTTTCAGAAAACAGAAAGCAGACAAAGAACCCAGCACTGATTTTTATTTAATGTCATAGCGTTTGTGGCCTTAGTCATGATTTCAAATGCTTGTGAGCACTGATAGCAGGCTGTCCCCATAAGGAGCATGACCAGTGTCTGTGTAGAGACCGTCATCAGGAAAAGGCCAAGTAGGGTCAAACGCGGTAGTGACAGGAACTGGCTTGAAACACAATAAATTTAACACATCTGAGATTCTAACCAACCACCAGACAGCAACATCTGTCCATCACCACTGACCTGTGTCAGATCTGAAGAATCGACTTCTAGCTAAAGGCTTTGTGTCTCCTGAACTACCCCACTGTACCTGCTAAAGTCTTTCCATTTGGCTGCTTTTAAATACTTTGTAGTTCTGCAGCAGCTTTTATTACATTATCATAAAGTTCTTTCTAATAGAGGCTTAGGTACATGTGTCTGGTAGGGGAGACAGCAGGATCTTCAGCCGTCTCTGAAGTGGACCATAGCAAGTTATTAAACAGTTAAATGAGAGGAGAGGAAATGCTGATACCTTAAGTAGAACATAATTCGCTCCACTGGAATTTGGCAACAACACAGGGACTAAGGTCCTTGCAGAAAGCACAAGCTGCTCTTCAACAACCACAAGCATGTAGAGACTCAAGTTGTGCCTCTTCTGCACAAAGCAACACGCAAGTAGTGCAGCACCCCCTAACTGTAAAGGCCATGTGCTCATCCAGAGGGAAAAAAGTCAGACTGAATTGTCTACGCTAGCTTTGGCCATCCCCTGTGCTCCCTTTGCCAGCACCAGCAAAGCAGGTCTATGCATCCCTTTGCCTGTGCAGGACAAGTCACACAAAATAGCACTGCCGGATGCCATAAAGCATGCACGAAACCACAACTAACATGACTCGTGTCCTGCCTACCCTACAGCATCTTCTTTTCCAGTTAACCCTTCTGGGTGCATTTTAAAACCTGCTTTCAGAAAACTCCACAAAAATTGTTTTCTGGACAGCAGCCAAAGTGCCCTTCTGCTCCTCATCACTTCCAGATACCGTGAACAGTCTTATAACTTCGTTGCTTCCCAGCAGGGAACAACTTCAGCCTGTATCCCACCAGTTAAACACATAGTACTAAGTAAAGCAGACAGAAAACTATTGCTTTATGTCTCTGCCAAAGTCCCCTGTTTGCAGGAGCACTTACTTGTCACTGGAAATAATTCTTAGCAGGAAAATTCAGCTGTCCCCAAATCAACCATATCTCATACCCTAAGTGCTCCTCTAATTTTGTATAGTTACAGATTACATGTTTGTGATGTCTTATGATATCTGAACCTTCATTTTTTCCCAAGACATCATTTTGGCATACTTGGACACATTCCTATTGATCCTGAGAGCCCTACTAGCAACGAAATTAATATCTCTAATACTTTCATTTCTTCTCTCCCTGTCCTGATGAATAGTACCAGTCTAACTTACACCTTTCCCAGTAAACCAATAACAAGTGAGTCCTTCATTTCTGGGTCCCACCACACTGGGCAATGGGATGTGCTATTTAACAAATTGCAGTACTGCATAAAGGGAAAGGAACTCCATATTCTCCCGCACTGCTCCTCATCACAGAGACATAAGTAGGTTGGAACTGTGAACCATCCCACAAATGAGATTTGAGACAAAGTCCTTCTTTCTTGTGCTCAAAACAACTATTTAAAAAAAACTATGAGAGCCACTGAAATGCAAGAAGGGGGTAGAAACTTGGGAAACTAAGGAGAGGGAGGAGGAGTGAGTCATTGAGATCCCTCCTCCCCACAAACATAGATTTTGCTCTTCTAGCCTAATTTCTACTGCAGTAACTATGTTTCTCCCTTTAAAATTCCCCTTGCTGCTTCAAGTGAATATACTGCCTCTGCCTGCTTTCCTTGAGTTGTTTTCCAATGGTCCTGTAAACAGCTGTGAATAGTTCCTCCACCACGGCAGTTCATGTTAGCAGTGGATGGAATTCACCTATCTGCACCTCACATTGGCAAAGGGACAGCAGTTCACTAGATGTGTTATTTTTTCCTATCTCAATTAAATAATCATTAGGGGCCATATAACTTAGAAGATACAGTACCTGTTATGGACAATCCACAGTGAAATAGAATGACTGATTTTCCCCCATTTATAAGTAAATGCACAATATAACATTTTATCTTAGTGTTACATTTACTGCCCTCTTCACTGTGCAATGGAAAGGACTACTGTTATGTAGTCCATCCCTCTGCCAATGTGGTTCCACACTGCACTTCATCAGCCATGTTCATCAGCAAATGAAAGACCTGATTGTACAGCCCTGCCTGTACAAAGCTGACATTCCCGATAGAAGTCTTTTTTTTTCTTTTGCTCAGAGTAACCTGACATTGGTAAAAGTTAATTAACTCAAACTGGAACATAATGCTAAACCTGGATCATAATGCTAATATCAGGGATGGTAACAGGTACGTATTTATTTTTTCCTCTTGCTGAACTGCAGGTCTTTCTGCCTTCCAAACTCACAACGGCTTCTCTCATCATCCAACCCACTTTAAAAATCGTTCTGCTCCTTCCCTCATGACCAACCATTTCAAACTCAGGACCCTCTGATTTTATTGGAGTTACCTTTTGTCTGAGCTACTGTGTTCTTATCAGATACCTGGAGGCATTGAGGTCAAGAGGAGGAGGAAAGATAACAGGCAGGGTAGTGAACATGTTAGCTCAGCTGCCCCCTACAAACACCCTACTCCACCCCATACCCCAATCTCTGTCCTGTCTTCATCCAGCAGTGAAAGGACAACATGGGAACCCCCTACAATCCTACAAAATTCTAGTCTCATGGACTTCGGCAGGATTTTGAAGTCATGGAGGAGACAACACTAAGCACAGCTCAGATTCTCAAACCTGACTCTCTAAAAGCCTGCTACTCCTTTCCACAGCCAGGCAGATGGGAGAGGGCATCACAACATATGTCTGGCTACCTCTGTACACACTTAGACAGCTCAAGAGCCCTAGCCCAGTCCTTTCCCCACACACAGTGCTACTCATGCAAGGGTCATGCAGACGCGTCACCAAAGCAATCTTGCGATCATTCATTCATTGTGAGTAATGGGACAGTGACTCCACTTCCAGAGATAAACCAGCTCCAGGTTGTCTAACCCTTAGCTTTGGGAAAGGTCTGGTTTGCAGTCCTACCAGTTAAAAAAGGGGGACATGCGCTCTGCTTCTCTGCAACCATAGTGAGAATAAAGAAGCATTTACCATCCTGCCCAGAGCTCTCGAGATACTCCGTCAGGTCACAGCCGAATGCGCTCGCAGCTCCCTTCCTCTTGAGTTTCTGTTTGGCTCCCTTGTTCTTCATGAGGTTAGTCCCAAAAGAGGTTCGCCTCCCCTCCTGCCTTGCCCCCCTCCCCCCAACCTCACGCTGAGTGACAAAAATCTTGCTCTTCTCCTCAGACCACCGCCCGTGTCCCGCTCCCGGGGAGCAACATCGGGGGTCCTGTACAGCGTCCAGCCAGAGAAGTAAACATTAATCCCCACCAGATGTTGGGCTGCTCCTGTGGCAGAGGAAGGTCAGGGTGAGAAGAGGCTCCACAGCCAGCAGCAGCAGCGATCATAGCCTGAGCCCGGAAGGGTTCTCATCAGAGGGAAGTGGGTGGTGGATGGGTGCCCGCATCAGAGCTGGCAAGTTGGGGGCAGGAGATGGAGGGGGGATGTCTTGCCCTCAGCGCAGTCCCGGGACCATCCACGGCCACCTTCTGGGTTTCGTCAGTTGCGCTGTCGCCACTTCCAGCAGAAAGCGTCTCAGTCTGGTCGTCCTCCTCTTGGCTTTCGGAGGAGACTGGAAGTTCAAACCGACTAATGAAAAGGGACTGGGGAAGAGTCTGCACAAGGCTCCTCTTTGGCTCCCCCCCCTTCCCCTCCTCCTGCCTTTGGACAGTTAGAGGAATGAGAAACCAGCTTCCTGTCCTGACTCCCGCTCACTCTCTCTCTCTCCTTTCCCCCGTTTTACAAATCCTAGGATTATCCAGCTCAAAAAAATGCTGAAAGGAAGTTAGCTGAGGAGGGGGGCGGAGGACGATTTTTGGCAGTAAAATGTGTGTGTGTGTGTGTGTGTGTGTGTGCGTGCGTGAGAGGCTGAGGGAAAGCAGGGAAAGGAGTTGGGGGACAGGGATGAGGATAGCAGGAGGAAGAGGGGAAAATTCGTCCTGACAGTCGGCAGATAACGGACTGCCTGAGAGGAAATCACTGTGAGCCGGGACGCAGCCTGTGGAGCGGTCAGACGCTTCCTGCTCTACCAACGCTCAGCTCTGCAAAGGCCCGAGGAGGGTCCAGAGAGGAGGAAAGAGTACAGGAGCCTGTCCAGTAAATCTCTGCCTCTGTTCATCTTGTTCTTAGTCACAAGGCGGCTTCCTCCCCTCAAACACGACTCTGTGACTTCAGGATTTGCCTTCCCCTACAAAGGTGCAGGCTGGAGCTACTGAAGTGCAAGAAGGGGGCAGAAAGTTGGGAAACTAAGAAGAGAGGGGAGGAGGGAAACCTTGAGCTCCCTCCTCCCCGGCAAGCAGAAACAGATGCTGTCCGGGCATCTAAGTTCACATACTTTTGAGTCAGCTCCCAAAAAAGGCTCCCCTTCACCAACAAAGGGGTTTAGATAAGGAGCTGAAATGACTCAATAGCAGCAAGAAGGTCTGCCTTCAGGCCCTTAGTCTTGTCCATGTCATCTCCCCCCTCTCCCTCATGAACCCCTTTTCTAGTCCTCTTTTCAGTACATGCCTATCTCTGCTCATAAGAACAGTCACTTGCACTTACTCCACATTTTTGATCCTGGAAATTCAGACTTTTTTACAGGGCTGGGTATGCCCACCAGCATACCTAGGGAGAAAAAACTCACACTGCTAAGGCTTCACTGATCCCTCTCGCGCTGTGCCAAATGTAGCTGTGTAGGTCTGTGCCAAATGTAGCTGTGTAGGTCTGGGTGGAAAAATAAACAAACAAATGAAAAACAGGAAATTGCAGATTTTCACCAAAAATCAGACCAAAGACAAGGAGAATAATTTGGTTCGAAGGAGAGTAATTTGGTTCAAAACTCTCCAGGAACAGGGCAAAGGACTCCCTTAACCCACCTCCCTCCACAACCCTGGACTCTGCACCCTTGCACAGCAGACAAACTCCATCTCCTCCCATACACCTCTACAAACTCACCACCACATCCCTTTATTTTCAGAGTCATTTATCATAATTATCCCCATTTTACAGCTTGCTGACTGAGAGGTTGAGGGGAAAATGCTCTGCAGAAGGTGTCATAGAGATGTCTGGCCTGTCATCTCCCTGTCCTCTTCTTCTGCTTCCAGGCTAAGGAGGAAACTGAGCTCTCACCACGAGACCAATGGTTGTTCTCAGGAATCCTTAGTTCTCATGAAACACTTAAAACTTCCTTGAATTTATTCTGGGATTCTCACAGCACCTTGATGTTGAGTCAGCACACGGGATCCCTCCCTGTACCGGCGTGCTGCCAAAGCCATCGCGTGCCACAGCGCATCCTGCCTGTCTGCCAAGGGCAGACTTCAGACGGGTTGGACAGACAACAGGACGCTCAGACCTGGATGTCTTGCCAGGCCATCCTCTCACTGCCTGGGTGGCTGGCTGCCTTCTGTAAGAAGACAAAGCCCTCTCCTTGCCCCCTCGTGGAGCAGGTATGTCCTCCTGCACATGCCAGCCCTCTCCCACATGGCTGAGTCCCAACACTGGACCAGCAGTGGGAAAAGAGGTTCACCACAGCAAGGAACCACACCATCTTCTTTGAAGTTCTGCAGACCCCTTCCTCCACAAACCAAACAGGATGTTTAATCTCACTGTGCTGGTCTCCTCTGTTGCTCTACTTAAGATGGAGGTCACATCACTGACGGAGTCTGTGTCCACAGCATTCATGTGGGCCTTCTGCCTGGTGATCCGCTGTGCTACGCTCCTGTCCCACCTCCATTGCCCTGCCTCATCCTAGATATGGTTTCTCCGGTCCTCCCTTGCAAGTTTATCCAAGCAGGATGTCTTCAAAAGAGGATGGCTTCATTTAAAAACAAATAAATTCAATAAATAAAATTAACCCCTGAATGCATAGAGTTTCCTTACATCATCAAGCGAGGGAGCTATGGCCTCAAGGGCAGCAGGGAGAATCCCATGCAGTATGGAACCTCTCCCCTCCCTCGCACAACCCTGATCCAAAGCCCACAGGCCCAAAGCATGGGCACTCAGCAGCACTGCTGGGTCAGCCCATCACCCTCACCCCTTGGTATTTCTTACAGGCCAGTAGGCATTTTCAGCTGGAAGCACCATTTCTTGGAGTTGACTCTGTGGCAGTTGCCTGCAGCCACCAAGGGAGGTGCCATCTTTGGAAGTCATGGTGGTGGGTCTCGGTAGTTGATGAATGCTGCAGAAATTGAGTGCTGCTGTCTGATTTTGATTATCTGGGGACTGTGCTGTGCTGCCCTGACCCCAACCAGGACCCTGGACCATGACTATCCAGAGACAGCATGTAGGATCCAGCAGCCACCATTGCCACCTGGGTGCTGTGGTGGGGAAAGGAGAGAGACTGCCACCTCTATGACAAGAAAAAGCAGTACTTGAAGCACAAGTAAAGAAGAGAAGTTAGAAAGAAAACAGGGAACATTCTTACTTTATTCACAGATGCTCTTTCAGGCACTGTAGATTTGCTTTCCCTGCTGCCTTGTGCTGATGCTCAGCTTCTCATTCCCATGAAAGGAAGAGAGAAATGGAGAAAGGAAATGGTATGGCAAGCGAGGTGAAAGAGGCATGTGCTGCAGCAAGTGAAAGAAGATATGAGGAGCTCTAGGATAGCTCCTGCCAGGCAGGTTGGTCTACTGGGGTGGCTCTTCCCATGCCAGGATGAGGTTCAGCAAGAGGACAGAGGGGAGGTCACTGCAGGATTGCCTAGGGATCCCGTGGCCAGGAGGAGGAGGAGGAGGAGGAGGAGGAGAAGGTCAGGCAAGGTGAGTGGGAACCAAACAAGGGAGGCTTTACAAACAAAGCACTTCATATCGGAGCCTGAAATCAGTGCTGAGCCAAGGGATTTTTCTGAGGGAAAGGGGCGATGTTCTCCTTAAGAGAGGAAAAAATAAGAAGTCTGGGTTTGTGCAACCCAGGTCTCTGCACTAGTTTGAGTGAGCAGGACTAAGGAATAAGCCAGTGTCCCTCCTGGAAAAGCTTTCACAGACAAGATTAGGCAAAGCTGGAGAGGAAAGGAGCTCAGGCAAGTACGGAAAGCCAAACAGAGTTCAAAGCTAAAACAGATGGAAAAGAAGGGGGAATTTCTCTCCCTCCTAAAAAAAAATTAGAAAAAGAAAAAAGTGAGTCTGCAGAATAAGAGCAACACAAAGCCAAGCCAGAGCTCTCCTAACAGCCATCTCCCTGTAGAGGTTCCTTCCTTGTCCTTACTGCTGTACGCACAGTGTGATGGCCAGCTGCCCCACGGTACTACAGCCCAAATCTGGAAGGCATGGCCCACGACATTACTTTAATTCCTTCCCTTTGAAACTGTAAATATAGGTCAGGACTTTAAGTTAGTCACAAAGGCCTCCCTGTCAGCAAGGGCCACAGGTTCACACAGGAACGTGGGGCACCTCCCCAGCCCGCTTCACTGCTGATCGGCGGTGCCTCACCCACCCTTCGGCTTGAGAACGGATGTGGTGAGCCAGTGTTGTGTGTGAATGAACACAGTACAGATAACTAATGTGCAGTTCTCTCTGTTCTCACAGACAAGGTATTGGTGACACCCAAAGCAATCAGAGAGCCTGGGGAACAGCTTTGGCCATTAGGTCTAAATATTTCTTCCCCTTCCAAGAGTTGGGGGCCATGGTGGAGGCATTGCACAGGCTATTTCTGGGCACCCATCTCTCCCCTCCCTGATGCATTTCCTTCACTGTGCTTGAGCTCTTTCCTATCTGTGTCCTCTAAATCTCCATCTGCCAGGCGCCACTCAGCACAGAAGAGGGGGCGTGGAAGACCCAGGGAGGGGGAGATCTGAGCCCCTAAAAATAGCCCTGCCAAGTACGTCTGTTTTCCTGACACAGACAGTTCATTGTTAGACTCTGACACGGCAGTTCACCCTCCCTCCCCACCCCTCGACATACTCTCTTTCCTCTCCTGCCCCTCTCCGGCCCAGTTTCCTGTCTACTCCCATCTCTGTGGCCAAAGCCAGAGTGTATTGTAAAGCCAAAGGCTGGCGTGAAGGCTTTTGTTTCTTTGAGTACATTTCAGACCACAGACTATGGGGTTGACCCTTGGCACAGAGCACCTACCACTCTTTGTTCCTAATTTCACCAATTCCCAGCCACACAAGCCCCATGTTCTCAGCTCTCACCTCCCTTTCTGCCTTTCAGAGGACCCTCTTGACCCACATCATGACACAACTTGCTCTGTGTGTCTGTCTGCCCTGTGCAACTGTTTTGCTAGCTACTGTGCAGATTCCAGCACTTCAGTTAAAAGTGAAGGAGGCACCTCACACATGCTACTGAGTCTCCTTGCTGCTGGCTGCCTGCCCATGACATGACAGTGTAACCAGGAGGTAAACCGTCCTTTGCTCAGAAGATTCTAGTTATGAGCCTTCATGATGATGTGATATCAGTCATGTCAAAGGCAACCAGAAAATAATTGGAACGCCCCTTCTACCAAGAAGGTACTTTTCTCCCTCTTTGCTGGTTAGGGCACAGGGCAAGGATTTTCGGCCGAGGATCAGATTAGTCACTGATATATTGGGAGCAGACATACATTTACAGAATCACAGAATATTCTGAGTTGGATACCTCCTTGATTATTGTCCCAGGTGAAATGAAATCTGAGGTACATAAGATATGTAGATGGGGTGCTTAAGGATACGGTTTAGTAGTGGACTTTGCAGTGCTTTGTTAATAGTTGGACTCAATTATCTTAAAGACCTTTTCCAATCTGAATGATTTTGTGATTCTAAGTAGCTTAAAATAGCATGATGTTCAGTACTGACCATACACAGCACAACTACAAAATGTGCAAATATGTTTTTAGCCAGACTGCCTTCTTTTACTGTTCACAGTCATTTCAGAGACATCTTGCATACAGAAAACAAGATGAGGAACATATCACCATTCCCTTTCTCAGAGCACAAACTTGTCTGAACCATTTGCATTGACATTTGCCTAATCCTGTGTTTGTCCAGCATCTAGCATGGAGGAACCCTAATTCTTGACTAGGATCTCCGATTATTTGTTATTTAAACGACATAAAGACCATTACAGAAAGGGTTTATATCTCTGTGTAAAACTCCATTAATAGCTCAATAATATATATGATAGTGTTATAAAGCAAACTCTCAAAGAAAAAAAAAATCTATCAGACAGCTAGCAAAATATTCCTTCATCTCAGAGGCATGTTCTGAACCTTCTC